TCTACTACTAAAAGAATTTTCATGACAGAATAATATAAATATATTGAGGAAAAAGATAATGTCACTCAGATCGATAAGTGATATTTGAAGGACGAGAAGCTGTCGGTGATGGCATTTGTTTGCATATGCTGAGATAGCCCTTCGGTTTGTACATTCTGCAAGGGTGAAACATTAATGACTGATTCTTTCTGCATTTTACCGATGTCTGATAACTCGAGGGACCCACCATCTCCTATACAAGGATGTTTTGTTGGCAGTGAAGCAAGGCAGTGGTGAAGAATTCATCACACGTTAATATCTAACCCACTATTCACAAGTTCCATGTGTAATTGTAGGTTTTAGGCACTGTGACTTGAACCATAATTCTTGCAATTGGTTTATGTATTCAGAGTTGATATTATGATATGTTAATAGTTTTTGAAATGAAAATTATTGGGCATCCAATATTCTTAAATGAGTGCATCTTTCATATGTGAAGTTAAGGGTTGAGTATAGGGACTAGGGAGGGGGTGGGTGGGTGCAGGCCGTGCAGCCGGGCACACGGGTTGAGTAGGATGAAGACAATTTTATAGGCAACTCGATTAGAACGGGTTGGAAAGTGTATTGGTGGGTATGAGGTTACTTGATATCCATGGCAAATAAAATTTGTTGGGAAAGTGAGATTTTCTATTGGTAGACAAAAAAGTTTATAATTCATGTGGTAACCAAGGCAAATTATACCGTGCAACCGGCGCACCTATGGATGGACTCGGGTCCGGGCCGGGGTCGGGTCCGGGCCTAGGGTGGGCCGACGGGTCAGAAATGGTGGACCCGGGGCCGGGCCGGGCCCATTATTTTATTTTATTTTTTGTTTTCCTCTTCCTAATTAACCCCCCTCCCACCCCCAACCCCCCAAACCACCCCAAATGGCCCAAAATACCTCGCCCAACCCGAAAATTTAAAAAAAAATAAAAAAAAAAATAGTTTTTGGTCCGAACCGGGCTCGGGTTCGGCCGGGTCCGGACTTGTTTTGGGTGACCCGAGCCTGGACCGGAAAACCCACGGGCCGGGCCTACCCGGACCGGTCACTGACCGGGCCACCGGGTTGGGCCGGGCCGGTTCTGGGTCGGGCCACCCGGCCCGAGTCCATCCATGGGTGCACCATGAGAATGGTGTGCCCGGTTGCAAAACGACGCAACTTGCCTCTTTTTTTTTGCTTTTGTTGTTAAAAAATGATAATAATTTTTTTATTTTTGATCCGATTTTTATAAATTTTATATCAACATTTTTTATTTTTCATGATCTTTCAAATGAGACCAATATTGCTTATGTAATTTTAAGAAATTATCGAACTATTATATTAATGAGTATTGGATTATAAGGAAAATCGAATCTGTTTGGGAGATGATAGGTTTGTGAAATAGAAGATCGAATCTGTTTGGGAGTGGATCAGTGGCCTCAGTTACATTTGATAATACATTGAGTTACATCTTTTTATGAGCGAGTTACATCTTTTTATAAGCAAGTTACATCTTTTTATAAGCAAGTTACATCTTTTTATACGCAAGTTACATCTTTTATAAGCGAGTTACATATATATAAACACGAGTTGCATTTGACATGCCTGAACGCGACTTACATATATTTACACGTAAAGTTACATATTTTTACACGTAAAGTTACATATTTATACACGCGAGTTACATATTTATACACATGAGTTGCATTTGACCTGTCTGAACGCGAGTTACATATTTTTTTACGTAAAGTTACATATTGTTACACGTAGAGATACATATTGATACACACGAGTTGCATTTGGCCTGACTGAACGTGAGTTACATATTTTAACACGTAAAGTTACATATTTTACACGCAAATGTTAATGTGTTAAAATTACATAGGCAATATTGGTCTCATTTGAAAGATCATGAAAAATAAAAAATATTGATATAAATTTTATAAAAATCGGATCAAAAATAAAAAAAGTTATTACCATTTTTTAAAAACAAAAGGAAAAAAAATATAAATCCGTACCGGTATACGGTGAGCACCTCCTAGAAAACTTTATGTTTCGTCAAAAAAGTTTATAAATCTATTGTTTCGTCAATTATGTATTTATGTTATGGCACCTCCTAGAAAACTTTATCATTTGCAAGATATTCTAGTGTCACTTGCCATAATGATTCAGATTTTCCCTAAGAAAAAGATCTTTTGTAGATTATTGGGTTTAAACTTTAAACTTTTATAGGACCAAACCCATGTGATACGTAAGTGATGGGGCATTAGGTCATTGATTTGAAAAGTGCATTAAATCCTTTTGTGTTATAACTTAAAAGTTTGAAAATTGTGTGTTGTTATGATTAAACATGTGAGTAAACATGTAAGTAAACAATCGAGTTACAGGGGCTAATGCATATAATTTAACCCGTAAATTATTATTACTTGAGTTGAGGAGATGATGGATAATGTGTTTCAGTATTTGTTATTAAGAGCCTGTTTGGTAACATAAAAATCGGGATCGAGGTTATTAAGAGCCTATTTGGTAACATAAAAATCGGTTGATTCTGCTGAAATTTATGAAGTTCTGGCTGAAGTGGTTGCATTGGCTGATTCTGCTGATTTAAGAAAAAAATGAAAATATATTTTATTAATAAAATAATGAAAATATTATATGTAAAATAGCTAAAATGGTAATCTACACTAATTTCATCCAATACATCCAGAAAAGTAACTCCAACCTTATTTTTTCTTATTATTACACAATTCAGCGCGCGAAAACAAAAGTTACATGTTTGGTGAAAAAGTTGACTGATAAGCCTGATAAGCCGAAAAACAATGTCATCAAACGACCTCTAAGTTTATTTATTGTACACATGGATAAGAAGTCACTTTATTTGGATGACTGATATGATACGGCGGAGCTTAAGATTTAAGAATGGTCCAAATATAATTTGTCTACAGTAGGCTAGTAGATCCCTCGTTGTATACTCCCCCGGTCCTAAATAAAATTCAGTGTTTGACTTCACACAAATTAAAAAAATAAATTTGACTTTACTGTAGAATACACTATTGTGACACTGTTTTGCACTGTTTTGATGTAGATAATTTGCCAAATAAGGAAGGGAGAAGAAGTGTGAACTTTAATTTGAACCGGCCCAAAAAGGAAAGTGTGAACTTTATTTAGGACCAGAGGAGTACTTGTCTAACCCTAGTTCGCAGCGCTGGATTGGGCCTTGGAGTTGGGCTTCACTGTACGTGGCTGCTGGATTGCTTTTGCAGAAAAGGGCTGCTATTGACGCAGGGAAGGGCTGTTCATGGGCCTGGACTGCTGGATTTTTATTTTTGACTTGATGAATGAGCTGGGGCCTGTCCCGTGCCATAACTGCCATTCTTGGACAGTTTTCTGTGATGTCTTTTGGACTTTTGAAAATTTACTCTCTCCTTACCCCTGCCCAGGGGAGGATCTACCTTATTGATAGTGGGGGCACATGCCCCCCATAAGCTTTGAATAATGTATTAATAATATAGTATTTTCTGCAATTTTAATTTTAAAAGGAAGAGTTTGCCCCCATTAAATTTTTCTCATGCCCCCAATAGATATTTGTGTGATGTTACGTTGTATCATATGAATGACTAAAAATGTGTTAATTATCTTAAATAAATCTAATTGTACAAAGTTAAAATGACCAAATTTTTGAGGAATTGTTGTGGCAAAATAAGGTACGGAGTATTAAATTAAATTAAATAAAACTATATTTAATTTAGCTAATGAATTGAAGTAATAATGTACTACTTGGCTCATGATGTTTTCGTTTTCATTTCTAATTAAGTGAATTTATGAAATACAAATGATTATTATGGATCTAGCCTTCTTATATTATACTCTGTATCGACCGTATATATGAAACATTTACATATATATGACTAAAATAAATTTTATTTATAAAACGTGACATCATAAGTGTGGTGATTATAGTAATATTTTAGTCATATTAACTTATGTTCAATTTTTACACTTAAGTGACTATGAGATTATATTATGATATGTATTGTTCATATTTTGTAAATAAATATTATTTCAGTAATATTTTTGAAAACCCTCTTAGTTCTACAATTAGAGCTCCATGCAATTATTCAAGATTAGTAGAAATTCGCCAATATTATTTTGGAGGTTTATAAAAAATATTACTAAAATAAAATTTATTTACACAAATATGACTAATAGTTACTACAATGTAATGTCATGATAATTTAAGTTGCAAAATTAAACATAAGTAACTATGATTCCATTACTATTCTAGTAATTATTCACACTTTTGTAAACAATTTTTATTTTAATCAAAATTTTGTAATTATTTTATTTTTTTTACACGAAAAGTAAGCTAAAAATTACATAAATTATGGTGGATCCGAATTTGGGACGACTTACTCATATGTCCGTATTTAATACTCTGTATATAGTATTTAATACTCCGTATATATTTATTTTAATTGATATTATTATGCCCCCAATAAGTATTTTTTCTGTATCCGCCACTGTCCCTGCCGCAAGGCGGGGGTGGAGGGCAGATACGGTAGATACTATTTTAGGTTAGCATGCTGACTTAGATAGTTTTTTGACTTTTTAATGCATTGTACTATGCTATTTTCTGGATATATATATTTACATTTTATCCACAAAAAAGGTAATGACTATCAATACTTCTAATCACTTAAGTCATATCATCGATCCTATTTAAGTACTACTTCCATGAGTTCCATCCCACTTACATTGGGACAAGAGGAAGTGTCCAATTATTAAGAGAAATGAGTTTATGTGTTTGATATTGAATTGATAAAGTAAGAATAAAATAAAAATAGTTTAAAACCAGACAAACTTTACTAAATTTGATATGAGACAATCTTAGTGGAATTTCCTGATAATTTTAGCGGGATGGAGGATCGGAGGGGGTAAAATATTTAGCAATAAACCTAGTATGATTCACATTCCATTGACTGGCATTTTTTGGGGCGGACTTTAGGAGTTGAGGTTCCCAAAACTATACAACCGGTCCTGTTCTATCTCAAATACATTCCCCCCAAGGTAAACATATACGGTATTAGAATAATGGAGAATAAACATGTTTGCACTTAAAAAAGGCAGAAAACAGCTTTAGATTACCCCCAGACTATTTGAACATTTGTTTGCAACAGTAATCTTAAACCCCAAATTTAATTGTAAAATTCGGCCAACAGTTTCAAAAGACTAATCAACAACAAGAACAAGTTTCGGAAAAAAGATACCAGGTGCAATTTTATTGAACCAAGATGGTTAATTGGTAACCAATTCATTTTTGGCTGCCAAACAAACAAGATTGTACTAGTATCAGTCCCTTTACATCTCAGATGAAATCTTGAAAAAGAGTCAATTGACTGTATTATTCAGGAAAAATTGCTCTAGTATATTCTACTATAGCAGTCTAACCAACAGGTTTGAAAATGTACATCTTGCTTGCATGAGGATTCACAGTGGCTGTAAAGTTCTCGACGAATCTTGTCCTCAGGGTCTTGTGCTGCACAATATTTATGTATGGGAAAAGAAAAAGCATATGTTGTTGAATAAAAGATATACAGTTTGGAGAATGAAAATGATAATCGAGTGCTTAGCAGACATGCTTACCTCCCAAAGGTCTCTTGCAATTACAGTGCTTTTGAGAGGAATTCCAATGTCATCCCACTCAGCCGTTATCTCATAACGGATGGGGCCACGATTTAATAGCACTACAGCTACACGGTAGCCTGAAAGGGGCCCAGCCCAAATCTAACCAAGGAAAAGATGTAAAATGAAAAGGAAAAGCATGGTTACCCAATCTGCTTCAACTTCAACAGGAACTTTAATTGCTATAAGACAGAGAGATTATAAGCTTTTACCTCACTATCACCTTCCATTCTAACTTTTTTAGCCTGAACGCCATGTGAATCTATTCACAGCAAAACAGTGAAATTTTCAATTACTAATTGTAGTACTTGATCAGTTGATCCCCCAAAGAGTACATGAAAATAACTTCAGAAATACCTTGATTCACCGCAATCACCTCCTTGTTTGAAAGAATCCGGAGCGTCTCTTTTGTCATATTTCTCACATCACAGCCAATAATGAGCGGAGCCTATTAAAAAAATGAGTGGAGCCTATTAACAAATTCAGAACAACCACAAAGGGCAAACTCTTTATTCTGCAAAGTGGTAATTTGTTAGGTCATTCCACAGTGACCTAATATAAATATACAAACCATCATACAAGGCCTTTGGCTACTTGTATATTTTAGGATGAAGCTCCATGTCTCAATATACTCCCTCCGTTCCTAAAAATTCTTCCCGGTTTGACTTGACACGCTTATTAAGAAAGTGGAATAAAGTGGAAATGTATGGTTGTGGTTGTGTAAGAAAAAGGTAAAATGAATGTGAGCCACACAAATTGTCCAAAATGGGAAAGTGGGAAGTATTTTTGGGAACAGCCCAAAAAGGAAAGTGGAAAGTATTTTTGGGAACGGATGGAGTAGTACAGAGCCAATTACACACCTCAACAACAATGATCCAACTAAGACTAAAAAAGAAAACCCATTTCAAGATTGGCTTGCGAGCCACCATGACATGTTAAGTCATCCAACATAGTCAAATATATAGAAAAATCCCAAATCTCAATATAAACAAGAATTTGGAGTGATCTGTGGAAGACTGGAAGTACCTTGGAAATGGCCCATAAACTAAAGTGGACTATGTATTCATCATTTGTCATTCCACCATTTCCAACTTCAAGCATGTCAGGATCTGATGATTATAGCTTAACTAAGCAAATTTATTATCCATTAAGTAACAAATAATGTTGTCAATTAATTCCTAGTATACTGAGTACTGACCATTCCAACCCCCAGGCCTTGCATTCTCAGCATAAACTTCATTCTGATCTGCTCTTGAAATCATGCTGTCATAAAATCACAAAAAATGGATGAAAGCATTCACACATGATTTGAGCATTCATACTAGTTAGCCTTCAAATGTTGGAAGAGCTATGCAAAATCTAACCTGTCCCATGTATTAGTAATGTCATTTGTGGTTCTCCAGCTGTTTCCCACCTTATAGCCCCATAGGGCTGGGTGCATATCACCCCTAAAATTAAGTGGAAGAGGGGTGAGAGGAAGCAAAAATATAAAACACTCAAAATCTTAAAGTCAAGCTAAAGACCTAACAGTGACATCTCAATATTAAAGCAATTACTAAATTGCCAATTTACCATTCACATAGACTATAAAAGATCCTGCGTCCAGACTTCATCAACGCTCTGGTCATAACAGGAAATCTAGAACCAACAAAAGAATAGCAAAACCATTCAGTAAGGTATCATAGAATCACAAACTATATTGCACAAATTCTGATGAAATCATAGACTTGCCTTACAGTTGGTTTAGACCCATCATGGTTACAATTATCGTACTTCAAATAATCTATACCCTGTAGAAACAGGTTATAAGTTACTCAAAAACCATTTCAAATAATTGGGTTGGGCTATAATGGTTTGGGTCTTATACACGAGATCCAAATTTGATCGCACAATTTCTTTTCTAGGACCCGTATTTTTCCTGTTTAGCCTACTTTTCATCCACTTTTTCTTCTCGAATCCCATGTAAGGTCTATAATTGGACTTCGTTAAATGTCAATACTTTTTCATCATTATTCTAACTTCATTTATATTACATTAAAATAATTAATTTCTCTCTCTTTCATATGTCACTAGGATGGACCCAAAAACATTCACCCTCCCATCGGAGATGCTCTAATATCAATTGAAGCCAAATGCCAGCAATTGGGCAAATCCCATAGTACAAATAGAACACCTAAGAGGAACAAACAAATACTTACCCAATTTGCAAAAGTTTTAGCATCTTGCTCTTCATGGCCAAGAGAGCCAGGCATTGTTTTGCTGCAAGTGTAATATCTGCAAATTGAAAAGTAAAAGAAATTGATAAAGCCGCCATTACTATTACTGTATTACACGATTATCGTTGAAATGATTTAAAACATTTACCCAGCACTTGAGTAGATTCCTAGCTTCAGGCCCTTGCTGTGCACATAATCTGCCAGGGCTTTAATCCCAGAGGGAAATGTTGAATTCTTAGGCAGAAGATTACCCTGGAAATTCAATCAATGCAAGCAGAGACAAGAAAAAGTAGAGGTCAACATCTACAAAGCTTACATTTATAATTGGGGATGGAAATACTCAACACTTGAACAATACCTGGTCATCGCGATGGATTTCAGCCCAGCAATCATCTGAGGTTAAAGCATCAGATCGATAATAGATTACATATAACAGAAAATTAGCAAAAAACATCATCAGAATCAATATAGGAGGCTAATTGAACAGAAACATGAAATACTGCCATGCTTGCAGGCTAAGGTCATATCTAGATTCTTACCTATATTGACATATCTATACCCATGCTTAGCAAGACCACTTGAAACAAGAGCATCAGCTGTTCGGAAATGAAAACTCATATCTCAAAAAACTTTAAAGATCTGATTTGATATCAGAAGCACTAATATATTCAGGAGGACACAGTATGCAGTTGAAATGTTACCAGTTTCTTTTATCATGTTCTCGTCAATATTGCAAGCAAAATGGTTCCAACTGTTCCAACTGAATAAAAAACAAAGCATAAAAGCATTAACAATAATGACAAACAAAAGCAAAAAAAAAAAGAACAAAGATGCTCACAGAAACAGAGGGCTTCACAAAATCAAGTTCATGAAACCTCAAATCTAGCAATTTAATTTAAATAACTGGAAATACCAATCAGTTGAGAGTGTTCACTGTTCACAATAAGTATCAAGTACTTACCCCATCGGAGGTGTGAGGCTGAAACCATTGGCCAACATATTCCGCCTAGCAATCTGAGCAGCGGTGGCAGAAGATGAATCAGATTGAGCCACATCCGCCTGCCGGAAACCGTAGCCTCCATGACATGCTAGCAGAAGTGATAACCAAAAAGCACTAAAAGCAGCTGAGATGAGCAGTGATTTGGCCATGGTGGTTTATTCCACACTGAGCTACCTAGCTAGCAGTTGTACTGTCTGGTAGTGTCTGGGGAGTGTCATATATATAGCAGCTAACACATGCTGTGTCGGCGGCTTAAAGGATTTTTTGGGTGCAAATCCGTTGAGAAATATAATGAAAAAGGTTGTTTCACACTTTCAATACGTGAAAAAAGTAACTTCCACTCATAAATTTATGCCCAATTACACTAAAGAAACAGCTTCCCCACAAAAAAACATTCTTTTCGCTTGAAGGAAGAAAGAGAGAAAGAAAGAACACTTCTTTAACATCAAAGTGATAATGCCAGGAAAATATCCTGAACAGCCAGCCCCTTTTGTGCATACACTTTTTTTTATTACAGAAATACTCTATTGTTGATAGTACCTCCCTCTAATAATATTCCTAGGCATATGCCTAGAGCACCAAGATAATGTGGGGCATCAATTTTTAAACATAAAACTATTATTAATATATAGTCAGTATTTACTACACCGTATTCGGTAATACCGAAAAGAAATACTCCACTACGCTCTACGCAGTACTAGAAGAAAAGCAAAACATATAAAAAATACTTTTATGTGTCATGTGACCATTATGAATAACTGAATAAGTAATTTAAGTTTTTAGAAATTGCAAACCTTCTAAATTGCTTTAAAAACTATGAAAACGTTTTATTTATTACTACAATTTTAGTAATAGCTACGTACGTTTTCCTATATTATATTCAATATAATTTAAAATTGATTAATGAAAAAACCGTGTTCTTAATTTATACACTATGAAATATTAAGAATTGAGTAAGAACTGTGCTAGGTGTACACATTTTGGTGTAGAATTGTCTTATTGACATACAATTCTGTGTGCGTGAGACAAACGAGCGTACAGATGATGTACACCAAAATGTATACACCAAGCATTTTTCATTTAGTAATACAAAGTGATTATGTACTACAAATAAAGATAATGTTTTAAAAATATATAATTTGTTACTTTTAATCAACTACTATAGTACTATATACTGAGTACATGATTAAGGTGTGAAACTTTACTGACTAATGATGTATGGCATTACAAAAAAACTACGGGATTGACACGGATTTGACACAAATTTATAGATAATTTTGTGTCAAATAACTCGTGTCAAATTGTTTTTTGCACGAATTTGGCATATCCCTGCTAAAATCACTACCAATTTTGGAGAATCCCTTTCAAAAATCCCTAAAAATCCTGTATTTTTTTGTAGTGTGAAAATGTAATTTTAGTTTTTGTCTAAGGCACCAACCCAACTAAGACGGCCCTCAATGGGACAAAGGTAGTACTAATCATTGTTGTGATATGCAGTGCGTTTGGCTTTAAAATTTGATGCATTTAATGCTTAACATTTTTAAGGGCGAAATAGTCTCTCAATCATGGTAAACTAAAATTGAGAAAGGAGATGGTGTAGGTGGGTTTTTCATTTTCAATATATCTGACCCCGCAAATTATACCGTATGACCGGTATACGGTGAGCACCGTATACCGGTATTAGGGGTGGACTCGGGTCTGGGTCGGGTCCGGGTCGGGACTAGGGCCGGGCGGGCCGGCAGTTCAGGAATGGTGGATCCGGGACTGGCCCGGGTAGCCACCAGGTCCGGGTCGGGCCGGGCTGGGCTTCCGGTTTGGTTTTTTTTTTGCTTTCCTACCCTCCCCCCACCTCCCCCACCCTCCCAAACCCCCCCAAACCCATCCTAACCATCAAGCTCAACCCGGGTGAAACCCCAAAAATGAAAAAAAAAAATCAATTTGGCCCGGGCCCGAGCCCGACCCGGCCGGGCCGGTTCGCCAAATGTGAGACCCGAGCCCGGACCCGCCCTACCCCCGGGCCTAGGCCCGACCCGGACACGGACCCGGACCCGAGAACCGGACCGGTCCTGGTCCCGCACAGTAGCGGGCCGGGTGGCCCGACCCGAGTCCAACACTATAACCGGTATACAAACTTCTTTATTTTTTTTCCTTTTGTTTTTAAAAAATGGTAATAACTTTTTTTGTTTTGATCCGATTTTTATAAAATTCATATCAACATTTTTTATTTTTTATGATCTTTCAAATGAGACCAATATTGCTTATGTAATTTTAAGAAGTTATCGAACTACTCCATCCGTCCCAAATTTATCTTCATAGTTACTATTCACACGGTCAACTCAAATTACTCTTAATCTTTTACTTTATATATCAAATTTTTATCAAACTTAAATTTTCTTGATCAGATTTTGTAGCGGATTTAATGTAGTTTCTGAATATGTAAATTTAATTTATTAAAAATAATCTGAGTGTGAACAGGGATCAAGTTGTTTTATCGTCAGTCAAGCATCGTAAACCGAACTACGAAGATAAATATGGGACGGAGGGAGTATTATATTAATGAGTATTGGATTATAATGAAAATCGAACTAAATTTAATACGGAAAAATAATTGTGTAAATCACAATTTATTTTAAAATTGTGTATATAAAAAATTTATTGTAATATGTATTTATACATGTGAGTTACATATTTTTATGCATAAAGTTACATATTTTTACACGTAAAGTTACATATATATACACATGAGTTGCATTTGGCCTGCTTGAACGTGAGTTACATATTTTTACACGTAAAAATACATATTTTTACGTGTAAAGTTACATATTTATACACGCGAGTTACATATTTATACACGCGAGTTACATATTTATACACGCGAGTTGTACTTGACCTGTCTGAACGCGAGTTACATATTTTTACACGTAAAGTTACATATTTTTACACGTAGAGTTACATATTTGTACACACGAGTTGCATTTGCCCTGACTGGATGTGAGTTACATATTTCTACACGTAAAATTACATATTTTATATAGGTTAATATAATAGTTCGATAATATGTTAAAATTACATAGGCAATATTTGTCTCAATTGAAAGATCATGACAAATAAAAAATGTTGATATAAATTTTATAAAAATCGGATCAAAAATAAAAAAGTTATTACCATTTTTTAAAAAGAGAGAAATAAAAAAAACTCCATAATACTCTCCACCTCGAATATACTCCCTCCGTCCTGCAAAGAAGTTCCTAGTTTGACCTACACACATATTTATGTAAGGTAGAGTTTTGTTTTGACTTTCTAAGTATACCCTTACTTTTTGTCAAATCAAAAAAAAAGTGGGAAAAAAGTAAGGGTAGTTGTGACTTTTGGGTTAAAAGTAATTTCCTTTTATAGAAATGAGAATTTCTTTTTGAGATATCCATAAAAGGAAAGTGAGAACTTCTTTGCGGGACGGGGTAGTATAACAACTGATCAGACCCCTCCTATGAAATAAATTTACAACCCCATGGACATAAAAGAAGTAAATAATCATTAACCAATAGCCCCACGGCCCCACCATATGACGGACTAATAATCATTAAATTGAAGAATAAAAACTACTTTGGTTATCTTTCTTCTCAGTCATTGGATAATTACATCTTATTTTATACTACCCGTCTCATAAGGTAAAATATATGTAAGGTTGATGCAGTTTAAAGAAAATTAAGCATAAAGTGCAAATTATACCGTGGGATCGGCCCACCATGCGTATGGTGTGCCGATCCCAAAACGGTGTCGTTTTCCATTAAAAAAAATTAGGTTCGTATTTCTGTTTTCAGTTGCAGCCGACTTCTTTCTTCCGCTTCCTTCTTCCGTTTTTGTTTCTATTCACTGAGCTTACGAACTTGATTTGCCTTCAAAGGCTTCAATGGATTTCTCTCCAGATGATTCAGCTGTTGTGAATTCATCGATTGAATTCGGAGATTCTATTCCATTTACTATACATGATAACGTGATTCCTTCATCCGTTGACAATAATTTTGAATGTGATCAGCCGGTTCATATCGAGCACATTGGTAAACATTACAGTTTTTGAGATTTGTGAATTTAATTTATCTTATTTATGCTTGCAGTATGCTGTAATATGTTTTGTTTTCTGTTTTATCTTATTGCTTGAGAATTTGGAGTGTAGTATTCATATTGGTTGAATTTTGTTGTTTTCCTTTCAGGAGAAGATGAAACTGGTTCAATGGCTTCTAAATTGTTACATCTTCTTAGTAGAGGTACTTTTCCTGTCATGTGATTCAATTTTTGTTTTGTTCATTTTTAGTTCGATGTTATGTCATTTTATTTCAATTGTATGTAACTTTTGTTTAGTTTTATGTAATTTGGTTCTTAGTTTTATGTTTGCAGTATGCTCTAATATCTTGTTTAATAATATGTAAATTACATTCAAATCTATGCAACTTCTTTTCTAATGTATGTAACTTGCGCTAAAGCTTATGTAACTTTTTGTTTTGTTGTATGTAACTTTTGTTCTACTGTATGTAATTGAACTGTACCTTTATGTATGCAACTATTGTATGTGCCTTGAGTTAAGTTTTATGTAGCTTTATGTTTATTAAAATGTAACTTTAGTTTAAGTGTATGTAACTTATGATCAGCACTATGTAACTTGTATTCAATTGTATGTATCTTCTTTACAGTGGTTTGTTTTTCATATATCACCTTTATGAATTGTCAGATACATTTGCAACTATTGACAAGGCAACCGAGAATAAATCACTTGTTGGATTGTGTGTTAAATCTGAAAAGGATGCTTATAATCTTTACAACAATCATGCTTTTGAAAATGGATTTGGTATTCAAAGATGCAAACAGAGGTTTAGGAGTGGCAATGTAAGTTTGATTATGAAGTCTTACTGTTGTTGGAAAGAAGGCAAGAAACTACAAAAGGGCACTGAAAACAAAATGTATACGAAATTAGATTATCGTTCAGGTTGTAAAGCAAAGCTGCAGTTTTCTATTGGTGTTGATGGTGAATGGACTGTTTCAAAGCATATTACTGATCACAATCATTCTTTTTGTCCAATTGGTGAAAGACACCTTCTCAAATCACATCGAGGTGTTGATCATGAGTATCTTGAATTTATTATGTTGATGAAGGAGAGTGGGACAAAGGTTTCTGATATTCACCGTATGCTTCAAAAACAGGCAGGTGGGGTTAGTGCTCTTGGATTCACCAAACGTGATGCTTATAACGTTCTAGAATCTGAAAAGAGTAAAACGTTTGATGATAGTGATTCTAACACTTTGATTTCTATATTGAAGAAAAGGGCTGAAGTGGAATCTGATTTTTACTTTGATTTTGAAGTAAATGAAGGTGTACTAAGTTGTTTTTTCTGGAGAGATGGCCAAATGAGATCAGATTATGAGAGATTTGGTGATTTAGTCGTGAATGATACAACTTACAGGACTAACAAATATGACATGATTTGTGGTCCGTTTGTTGGTATGAATCATCATTGTAAGAATATTATGTTTGGTTATGGCTTTATGTTGAATGAAAAGGTGGAGTCCTTTGTTTGGTTATT